CTCAATCTCAGTTGGCTTGTTACATACATTACTATGGTGCCCCTTTTTGGACTATAACTTGGAAACAACGTGCAGAAACAAATTAAAACTCCAGTTGCAGCTCCTACTGTACTGAAATGACTATTGGTGTAAGCAAACGGTGTATGATAGGAACCTAAAAAAGTAAAAATGGTACTTAAATTGATAAAGTTTATAATGGTGCAACAATAGTTACTATAGTCGAGAACAAGATGCGAAAGCAACTTTGCATCGGTTCCATAAGATTTTGTGTAACCAATTTTTAAGCTCAATTTCCAGGCAATAGTTTTTCGCACTGTGCGTGAAAGGTTTTTTGTAGATTAAAGATTAAAAGTAACTCTTTGTGTTTTGGCCGACCGACCGAATAATTGCAAACATATAGCAAAATGGACTTGGTTGCAGATCGAGCTTAGAAATTCTTATGTAACTCTCTCCTGTTGCAATAAGATCGGAAGATAAAAGTTCTTGTCCCAACATGCTAAGTAACTTAAATGGAAGCATTTTACACAGCAGGAGATTGAACTCGTGGAATTCGTTTAAGAGAAATCGTGGCTTATTTTGTCATTTGCTAACGAGAAATATTTCAAATATTGTCAGTTTTGCCTGTACAAGGATGTGCGCGACGATTTATCGACAATTAAACAATACCGATATTCGTGCGAATAATTCAATTATTTTATACATAGAATATAATGTGGCGTATATCTCGGTAGCAAATTCGTGTAATAATATCGTATTATAAAATGGATGAATAGATTTGAATTTTCAATTGATTCTGTTACGTGCTCAACGTTCATAAAGGATTACAGCAAGCAGGTCGTCCCTGAAGAACCCATACAAGAGCCGCTCACATTTTTTAAGTGAATCGTTAGGAAATGACGTTTCACTTATAAAGGCGTTTCTTTATTAGATTCGATTGCAACTAAATTTGATGATTTTCGAGGTTAATTTCGAATATAAAAAGATTATACACGGTAATTGAAATGGATAATTCATGAAATTTGAAAGGCTTTATTGACTAA